CTCCTTCCTGGTGCTTGGCAAGATTTGGACATATCTGACTTCCATTTATAGTAATGATTTTCCCTCTCTACAAAAAGGGGAGAAAACTGAAGGGTCGTTCAGTCTTGTAAATGCAATCTGTATTATGTCAAATGTCTTTTGCTGGTCATGGACCCTAATAATACACTGGACCTGAACAAGGCATCCTAAAGAGCATCCAGCCCTGTAGCACGGTGCCAAAGCATATAAAATAAACAACTATGACAATATTGGTGTCAAGAATTATTCAGCCACATGTACAAGATAATACCCTTTTATTCAGCTTAATCAGAGTAGAGTAACTGCTTTAATAAGGAATCACATTATTTCCTTCTTACAGTCATTTGGGGGCCATTTATTGGTGTTTCATACACAGCAGAAAAAAACTAAGTGGAAAATATACATGCCTAATGAGTGAGTTTTGCATCAGTGCAGAAATGAATACACAAGGAAGCAGTAAGTGAGACACTCACATTTCGAAAGGATGTTGTACCAATATAATAACTCACACTTCTTTCAGCATTTACGCACTGTATTCATCTTATTTAAACAAGTATCTGAATTCAAGTACAAAACTTAAGAAGAGATCCTAGTATACACCAGAAGCCCTGGTGTATACTAGGCAAATTTACAGGATCACTTTTGCATGTAGTGATTTGCTTTATTTTTGAAACTGGATATGAAGAGCAATCCATAACAAGCCCAAACTACAATATGATGCACCACGACACACATGCTCTATGGATGCATTAATTACAGCACCCAAACTTGAAGATCTATCTTTATAATTGGTCTGGTGGTGTGAAATCCCTCGACACTTGCCCATCTGGAAAATGAAAATTTTCACGCTGGTTCTTAAGAATGCACACCGCTGATAAATAAGACTTGAGTTTGAATTACAGCACAGAAAACATTTCCCCGCTTCAGGTAATAGATAGTGTATTTAATCTACTACATCTGTATCCTACCTCTCCTCTGAGAAGATCAAAACACACTTGGTCTCAGAAACAATAATTAGGCAGGGCAAGTGGCTGGGGTTTTCTCAAAGCCATCCTAGTGAGCCCTGGGTCTGGATTTAGCCTAGTTTTCCAACACTAAAACCGCAAAGCCTGGTATATGTACTAGATTCTACATACACTTAACTGGAGTATACCTGGAAAACAGTTAGTGCTGACTGAGGAGAGGTGGGAGAAAGGCAGAAAATAAAGAGTCAAGCCCTTGCCTCTTTAACCAGTTGTCACGTGGTCTCTATAAACAGAGAAAACAGCCTTTAACCCTCACTCACAGGTTCAGGGTACACCGCCACCTGCTCCAAACCACTGAGACCACAGAGGGGAGGAATATCACCAGCTTCAGCAAGTAACCTAAAGGTACAAATTACTTTCTGTGTGGTGAATGTTTGGAGCAAGTTTTTTCTGACTCCAGAAATACAGTAGTACTAATCCATTCTATCACCCTTCTAGAGTGGTCCTGAGGGACTAGATAGGCGGGATATAAATAAAATAAATAAATAAATAAATTGATCATAAGTGTAACAAGCCCCTTTGGTAGGATCCTTCCTTGACAGGCTTTGTCCTCTCCTCCCTGTCTTTCATTTTTTCTTCTGGAAATGTTTCAGAACAGGATATTTGGTAACAAACCCCTTTGGTAGGATCCTTCCCTTGTCCTCTCCTCCCTGTCTTTCGTTTTTTTCTTCTGGAAATGTTTCAGAACAGGATATTTGTTTGTAATATTTAGACTGTGCTGTTGTTTAGACTGTAACACCCCCCCCCAACCATGGTGCCCATTGCAGTAAAGCACAAAGGCTCCCAGATTATCTCACATCCAGGAACCACACTGTCTGCAATGTGTTTCAGATTGAACCAAGTTGCTTCATGACATCCCTGCAATGGATTTCCTACTTTCAGAAAGCAAACACAAGATCTTGAAAAATCCTCTTTCCATGGTACTGAACTGGACATTCAATGAACTTAGGAAGGTGCTTTAAGATGTAGAGCTTAAGCTCTCCAGTCTGTGATATTACAAAATTTTGGGTCCACTGGGGTCTTTCCAGGATACTGGGAAAAGTACAATAAAGCTTATGAGAACTCTGGAACTCTTGTTCTAGCTCACATAGTAAGAAATTTGAATATTTTCCTACACACAAAGAGACGCCAACTTTGTAACATCTAAGCCAGAAACTGCCTGGATAGCTCAACGGTATAGGCATCCGGCTGGGAGTTCAACTCCTGACGGTGCCTCCTGCAAGTAGAGCCAGCCTGGGTAGCCTTGGGCGAGTTGCACCCTCCCAGGGCATCCCCAGAAGAAGGAGATGGGAAGCCACTTCTGAGTACTCTGGAAAACCCTGAAAAGAGTCACCATAAGTCAGAATTTACTTGATGGCACACGACTACTATCATTAAACCTGAGGAAGTGTGCGGAAAACTTTGTTGTCGTCGTTTAGTCATTTCCGACTCTTGGTGACCCCACGGACCAGAGCACACCAGGCCCTCCTGTCTTCCACTGCCTTTTAAGCACTACTTAGGTTTAGTTGCATTTTTATTTTAATATCTGAATCTTCCTGTAGTTTTAAACATATCATTTTAGCAGCTGTACACTGCCTGGGAAATAGCAATAAAGTAAATAAAGAAACAGACACTTGTAAATGGCTTGTCTCTTGCACAGCTTTTTAGGGATCTGATGAAAGCGCTGCTCACTTTTGACTGAACCGATCCCGTATTAGGCAAGCTGTTGTCACTGCTCGTTGTTGTTATTACCCTGGCCGCCTTCGGCACAGGGTCAGACCTGCCTTGGAAAACAGGGGGCGGATGGGTGCGTGTCGATCCGCGGAAAGGCGAAGCGCGGCGAGGCCGGTAGGCGCCCTCCCTCCCTCCCTACCTGGTAGGCGTCCGGGATGTTGACGATCTCGCCGTGCTGGGCCACGTAGCCGATGATCCCCTTGCCCCAGGGCACCTGCACCTCGTTGGCGTTCGCCGTGCTGGAGCAAGGCAGCCAAGGGGTGCCGGCGTGCACGTCGAAGACCTTGGAGACGAGGCTCTTCTTGCCGCCGCCGCCGCCGCCTTCCACCAGGAAGAGGGAGCCCCGGTCGGCGTCCACCATGAGGCAGACGAAGATGAGGATCTTGTAGCTGAGGGCGCGCAGGTCCAGCTCGTTGGAGATCTCCTTGACGAGCTCCAGGAAGAACTGGCGCTCGTTGTGCGCCTTGAGCTGGCGCTTGTAGTCCAGGGCGGTGGGCGGGTACCGGGGCAGGCTGACCCGCGACTCCAGCAGGGCGCTGAGGATGTGCGCCGTGGTGGGCGGCAGCGAGCTCGCCTTGCGCAGCAGCGCCCGCCGCCGCGCGC